GGTGCTGGATCTGTTTGACCCTCTCAACATAATTGAACTGCAACTTACAAAAAAAAAAAAAAAAAAAAAAAAAAAAAAAAAACAAAAAAAAAAAAAAAAAAAAAAAAAACAAAAAAAAAAAAAAAAAAAAAAAAAAAAAAATAAAAAAAAAACAAACAAAAAATAAAATAACATAAAAACTGCAACTTACAGCTAAGAGTATTAGGAGTTGCTGTTCAGTATCTGGATTATTGCACCAACTCCCATCGCTTAGTTCTTGTGCTATTTTTCTTTCTTGTTGATCTTTCTCACCATTATTCCAAGTACTCATGAGGAAGGAGTATTAATCTGAATTAGAAACTTCTTTGTCCCCACAGCCCAGTGCTGTTTATGCTTCCACCAAGCATTGCTTTTCTCAGTGGCCTTTTTCTTTCTTGGTGGTTTTTCTTCCATTATTTGATGCCCAAGAACTCTTTGAATGAGATTTTAAGATACCCTCTCCCTAAACTACAAATCCCAGGGTCCCATTGGATGCTGCCTTGTCTGTTAAAGCAGAGGATGGAGCTTATAACAATGTTATGTGATAAGGATTTGGGTCCAATACTACATCATAACTGCTAGCACATACCAATAGCTAACATGGGAGTGTTGGACAATTTCAACAGAAAGGAGGAAACCATGAAAATGAACAAAATCTAGCTACAAGTTTTTTTTAAAAAAACCCTAAAATCAGGACAGTAAATAAAGAGCAACAGTCAAAAAGCAGAGGAATTCCATACAAGAAGCAATCAGGGCCAGCTAACACCCCCAAACAAAGGCTTCCCCAGGAAGCAATCAGCCAGGCTTTGAATCTGTAATATCATTGAATGCTAATCAACATGGCCAATTGCAATATTCACACTTGCCTCAAGCAGACAAGAGTTCTTTCTCCCACCCTGGACATTCCACATATATATAAATTTCACTTGCCTAGTTTCCAACAGACTCCTCACCTCTAAGGATGCCTGCCATAGATGTGGGCGAAACGTCAGGAGAGAATGCTTCTGGAATATGGCCATACAGCCCAGAAAACTCACAGCAACTCAATCTGGTAGTAATTTTAAACATGTCATTACACTGATGTTGTATGCAAATTTCTCATTCCAAAGTTTCTAAAAGAACATGTCAGTGAACACTGGATCTAGACTTAAACAGTGATTTTAGAGCAAAGGTGGACAACTAAGAAGAAAGGAGGCTAGGCACTTTAGAATGTGATCTCTATGAATACAAATTGAAGGTATTAGAAATACTTCGGGGAAAGCATTCATACTAGCCAGTCCTAGCAATAGCTGACAACTGGTTTCAAATGTATTTGTAAAAATTTGCCATAAAGCAAATAGAAAACAATGGTTTTCTACAGGCACTGAAAGGTAAGACTGTGGGTTTTGATTTACAAGACTATTCTGAGCTTTTATGTAATTTAAAAAAGGAATTGTTTATGCGAAACTTGTTAGGAAGCAGGACAAATTAACAAAGGTGATTATGATGGAATCCCCTTTGCTGGAAATCATTTAAAAATAGGCTAGGGAAAAAGCTCTGCCAATATAATTTGGCAAGGTGCCTACCTGGGGCCTTGCCAATATGTTGCTAGAGATGGTTTGCATACATTAACAGTAGAACTGGATACTCTTGTTAAATGATAGACATTTTACAGCCAAGTCTCAGGTGAAGGTTGGGAATGACAAAATGAATGCTATGTCTCAAAAAAAAAAATTGGCAGGCAAATGCTAATAATTAATAATAGCTCTTTTGAGACCAAAATATATAGCTGATAGCAACTTGCATCTTTATAATCCATATCTAAAAATGTCATTCAGAAGAATGAGCATATAGCTATGTTTAAAAGTCCAACTGATTTATATCTGCTTCCCTGTAACAGTGAAGATGAATGTGAAATTGCTAATTGGAAGCTCCATGAACTGTGTGGGACATACATGTATGAAAATGTTTGATAAGAGCATATCCACTCTTTTTGGCAAATCACAAAATTATTAATGCTATAAAATATATATTGTTCACTACAGTTGGGAAAGCTCTCAGAACAGCTTGTATATCATAAAAAAGACTAGGGTGCATCCACATAATGTAGCTTGACACCACAGCCATTGCTCAATGCTATGGAATTAATGGCAAGCCAGCCAGGAGCCCCTGCCTTGAAACTGATCTGACCTGCAGCAGGGAGTTCCACAGTTCTGCCCGCTTGAGCCAACATCAATGGGAATGTGGCCACAGCAGCAGCTTCAACCAAAGACTCCTTTTCTGCCATGCTTTCTTCCCCTTCCTAACATTGTAACAAATCCCCCAATAAAGTATCCATTAATTGTAACTTGGTGTTACTTTGTGTCCTTTACTGCCTCCAAACTTTCCTCCAAACTTTCTTCTGCATATACCTTTCCTCTCCCAGGCTGCAGATGGCTGCCAGCCTGCCCGGTATGCGATTTTGGCATCCCGGAGAGGCCAAAACTGCACTCCTCTGAACCGCGGATACAGAAACCCATTGCTAGCACAGGCACAGCCAAACCTCAGCCCTCCAGGTGTTTTGGACTTCAACTCCCACAATTCCTAACAGTCTTCTGTAGGAGTTGAAGTCCAAAATATCAGGAGGGCCAGAGTTTGAACATGCCTGAGCTAGATCCTGGCAGATAATCCCTGATGGGTTGAATGGGTGAGAACTAGGGTGAATCTACACAGTATAATTGATGCAGTTCAGCACTACTTTAAATGCCAAAGCTCAGTACTATGGAATCCTGGGATTTGCAGTTTGGCAAGACACCAGCACTAATTTGACAGAGGCGGCTAAAAAAACCCACTGAAAACTACAAATCCCTGGATCCTATAGTATTGAACACCCACAATTAAAGTAATGCCAAACTGCATTGATTCTATGTGTTGTCAAAGGCTTTCATGGCTTGAATCACTGCTGTGAGTTTTCATAGAATCATAGAGTTGGAAGAGACCTCATGGGCCATCCAGTCCAACCCCCTGCCAAGAAGCAGGAAAATAGCATTCAAAGCACCCCAACAGATGGCCATCCAGCCTCTGTTTCAAAGCTTCCAAAGAAGGAGCCTCCACCACACTCAGCAGAGAGTTCCCTGCTGCACTGCCCTCAACACAGTCAGGAAGTTCTTCCTAATGTTCAGGTGGAATCTCCTTTCCTGTAGTTTTTAACCTATTGCCCCGCATCCTAGTCTCCAGGGCAGCAGAAAACAAGCTGCTCCCTCTTCCCTGACTTCCCCTCACATATTTATACATGACCCTCATGTCTCTGGGTTTCTGACCCTGTTCCAGAAGCATTCTCTCTTGACGTTTCGCCTACATCTATGACAGCCACGCTCACATTCTAAAATGCTTAGCCTCCTTTCTTCTGAACTGTCCACATTTACTCTAAAATCACTGTTTAAGTCCAGTGTTCAGTGAGTAGTAAATGACATGTTCTTTGAGAAACTTTGGAATGAGAAATTTGCATACATCAGCATAATGACATGTTTGAAATTATTACCACATTGGGTTGCTGTGAGTTTTCCGGGCTGAATGGCCATATTCCAGAAACATTCTCTCCTGACGTTTCACCCACATCCTTAGAGGTTGAGGAGTCTGCTGGAAACTAGGCAAGTGAGATTTATTTATCTGTGGAATGTCCAAGGTGGGAGAAAGAACTCTTGTCTGCTTGAGGCAAGTGTGAATGTTGCAATTGGCCACCTTGATTAGCATTGAATGGCCTTACAGCATTCAAAGCGTGGCTGATTGCTGCCTGGGAAATCCTTTGTTTGGAGATGTTAGCTGACCCTGATTACTTCTTGTCTGGATTTCCCCTGCTTTTTTACTGTTGCTTTTTATTTACTGTCCTGATTTTAGAGGTTTTTTTTAAAAAAAACCTTGTGGCTAGATTTTGTTCATTTTCATGGGAGAAAGAACTCTTGTCTGTTTGAGGCAAGTGTGAATGCTGCAATTGGCCAACTTGATTAGCACTGAATAGCCTTGCAGCTTCAAAGCCTAGCTGCTTTCTGCCCGGGAGGGGTATTCCAATTAATTAATTAATTAATTAATTCTACGCTGCAGACGACTCCACTTTCTGAAGGAGGCTATTCTGGGGGTTGATGATGCCTGGCTTGAGAGCAGTACGTGTGAAAAAGATCTTGGAGTCCTCATGGACAACAAGTTAAGCATGAGCCAACAATGTGATGTGGCGGCAAAAAAACCAATGGGATTTTGGCCTGCATCAATAGGAGCATAGTGTCTAGATCCAGGGAAGTAATGCTACCCCTCTATTCCGCTTTGGTTAGACCACACCTGGAATATTGTGTCCAATTCTGGGCACCACAATTCAAGAGAGATATTGACAAGCTGGAATGTGTCCAGAGGAGGGCGACTAAAATGATCAAGGGTCTGGAGAACAAGCCCTATGAGGAGCGGCTTAAGGAGCTGGGCATGTTTAGCCTGAAGAAGAGAAGGTTGAGATGAGATATGATAGCCATGTATAAATATGTGAGAGGAAACCACAGGGAGGAGGGAGCAAGCTTGTTTTCTGCTTCCTGGAGTCTAGGACGCGGAGCAATGGCTTCAAACTACAAGAGAGGAGATTCCATCTGAACATGAGAGAGAACTTCCTGACTGTGAGAGCCGTTCAGCAGTGGAACTCTCTGCCCCGGAGTGTGGTGGAGGCTCCTTCTTTGGAAGCTTTTAAACAGAGGCTGGATGGCCATCTGTCAGGGGTGATTTGAATGCAATATTCCTGCTTCTTGGCAGGGGGTTGGACTGGATGGCCCATGAGGTCTCTTCCAACTCTTTGATTCTATGACTGCCTTGTTTTCCTCTGCTAACATGCAAAGGCCTTTTTGTTTCAGCAGAATAAGGAAGGAAACTACACATCCCAGTATTCCATAACACCGAGCCATGCCAGTTCAAGTGGAGCCCCTACTGCAAACTGTAAGAGCCGTGACCCGCCGCTTTCCCTCTCCTCTCCCCGCTTTGTCTGTTTGGATTTCCCGGCGGCGCATGAAAGAGCGGAAGTGCTTTGATGTTTGGCGGAAGCGGAAGCGCGTCCTTGAGGCGTGATGGCGGCGCTGGTGAGGGTTGTGGTGAGTGGAACTCCGAAGCCTCGCCGGGCGCTTCTGTGAGGGGAGGGGGGCGGCTCAGCGCCGAGAGAGCAGGCCGCAGGGCTTGAGGGGAAGGGGCCCGCCGCCAAGGCCTTCCCCCGCACCCTTCACGCCGCTTCCTGCGGATTTGTTGCCGCTCTGAGCGCGGTGACCCTTCTGCAGAGGGTGTTGAGCCTTGGGGAGGGAGGGAGAACGGCGTGGAGGACCCTTTGCAGGGAGAGAGGCCCTGAAAATGGGAGTAAGAGCCCCTGAAAAGGGGAGTAAGAGCCCCTGAAAAGGGGAGTAAGAGCCCCTGAAAAGAGGAGTAAGAGCCCCTGAAAAGAGGAGTAAGAGCCCCTGAAAAGGGGAGTAAGAGCCCCTGAAAAGGGGAGTAAGAGCCCCTGAAAAGGGGAGTAAGAGGCCCTGAAAAGGGGAGTAAGAGGCCCTGAAAAGGGGAGTAAGAGCCCCTGAAAAGGGGAGTAAGAGCCCCTGAAAAGGGGAGTAAGAGCCCGATCCCTCCAGGACCTTATGGTCCTGGAGGGATGGGGCTCTTACTCCCATTTTCAAAGTGGTGTCAAACAGCATTCATTCAATTGGGTACCTCATTGCTTGCCAATAGCTAATACTCCCGAAGACAGGATCTGAACAGATGAGAGAGAAGATTGGCCAAAACTCACAAAATGAAATTCAACAGGCACAAATGCAAGATACTCCACTTAGGCAGAAAAAATGAAATGCAAAAATACAGAATGGGGGACAATGCCTGGCTCGACGGCAGGACGTGTGGAAAAGAGATCATGGACAACAAGTTAAACATGAACCAATAATGTGATGCGACAGCTAAAAAGCCAATGGGATTTTGGTCTGTGAAAATCATAGAATCAAAAAGTTGGAAGAGACCTCATGGGCCATCCAGTCCAACCCCCTGCCAAGAAGCAGGAATATTGCATTCAAATCACCCCCGACAGATGGCCATCCAGCCTCTGTTTAAAAGCTTCCAAAGAAGGAACCTCTACAGTCTAGTGTCTAGATCAGGGATCCACAAACTTTTTAAACAGAGAGCCAGGTCACAGTCCCTCAAACTGTTGGAGGGCTGGTTATAATTTGAAAAACCTATGAATGAATTCTTATACACACTGCACATATCTTATTTGTAATGCAAAAAAAAACCCCACTTTAAAACAATACAATAAATTGAATAACAATTTTAACAAATATAAACTTATTAGTATTTCAGTGTGAAGTGTGGGCCTGATGAGATAGACGATTGTTGTTGTTGTGTGCTTTCAATTCATTTCAGACTTAGGTTGACCCTGAGCGAGGGCCGGGTAAATTACTTTGGAGGGCCGTATCTGGCCACCGGGCCTTAGCTTGAGGACCCCTGGTCTAAATCCTGGGAAGTCAGGCTCCCCCTCTGTTCTACTAAACACTATCCCAGAATACTTGTTGGATGTCAAAATACACAAAATAATCTATGTAAAGAGAAATAATACTCAAGGTGCATATAGTATATAATATTCTGTATATAGTTCAGTGTAATTCAGTGTATTATTATTTATTGTTTAAAGCATTTATATTCCGCTCTTCTCACCCCGAAGGGGACTCAGGGCAGAGCACAACATATAAACGGCAAACATTCAATGCCGAAACATATTAGACCATACACATACAAAAGCATTAAAATCACATATCTCGATGATAAAATCCACTAATTAAAACTGTCTCACCAGCCATATTAAGGAGCCCTGGTGGCGCAATGGGTTAAACCCCTGTGCCGGCAAGACTGAAGACCGACAGGTTGCAGGGAGAGACGGATGAGCTCCCTCTATCAGCTCTAGCTCCTCATGCGGGGACATGAGAGAAGCCTCCCACAAGGATGATAAAACATCAAATCATCTGGGCATCCCCTGGGCAACGTCCTTGCAGACTGCCAATTCTCTCACACCAGAAGCGACTTGCAGTTTCTCAGGTCACTCCTGACACACAAAAAACCCACAAGAAACAAAAAGTCCAAAGCAGTGGGTTGTTGTAGGTTTTTCGGGCTATATGGCCATGTTCTAGAGGCATTCTCTCCTGACATTTCACCTGCATCTATGGCAAGCATCCTCAGAGGTAGTGAGGTCTGTTGGAACTAGGAAAAAGGGTTTATATATCTGTGGAATGACCAGGGTGAGACAAAGGACTCTTGTCTGCTGGAGCTAGGTGTGAATGTTTCGACTGACCACCTTGATTAGCATATAATGGCCTGACAGTGCCTAGAGCAAACTTTTGTTGAGAGGTGATTAGATGTCCTTGTTTGTTTTCCATATTGAATTTGGTTGGCATACTAAAGGTTCCTATCGCTGCCTCATTGCACAGTCCGAAAAGCTCGGTCCCGCAGCCATGTTTTTTTTATCCTTCTAAAGGACAAGAGGGAGGGAGCTGACCTCATATCATTAGGAAGGGAGTTCCATAGCGTATTCGCATAGTGAAGTCAAAAGGAGCAACAGCTCTCAAACATAAAGTTGTAATACAGTCATATAAAGTAAATTGAAAAGGAGCAACCGCTCTCAAACATTACAGTTACAACTTTATGTTTGAGAGCTGTTGCTCCTTTTCACTTCGCTCTATGTGAATACATTGCATTACACTGAACTATATAATGAATATTATATACTCTGTGCACCTTGAGTATGATTTCCCCTCTATTCTGTCTTGATCAGTACACACCTGGAATACTGTGTCCAATTCTGGGCACCACAGTTGAAGGGAGATGTTGACAAGCTGGAATGTGTCCAGACTATGATGATCGAGGGTCTGGAGAACAAGCCCTATGAGGAGTGGCTTAAAGAGCTGGGCATGTTTAGCCTGTAGAAGAGAAGGCTGAGAGGAGACATAATGAAGTCCATGTACAAATATGTGAGGAGAAGTCATAAGGAGGAAAGAACAAGCCTGTTTTCTGCTGCCCTGGAATATCTTTTCTTATTGTTTGAATCCATTACTCCGTATCCTGTTCTCTGAAGCCTCATCAATATGATGTTTTTTCAGTTATGCTAACATGGCTGGCTATCATTTCTCCGCTTAACTTTCTCTTCTTCTAGATAAACATACCAACTCTCTAAGCTGTTCTTTATAGGGTATGGTTTCCAGACACAATTCCAGTGGGGAAAAAGTGGTGGAAAGAGTATAAAAATTGGGTTCTTTGATAAAATAAATATTGTCCAGAATATGTAATGTGTAAAATATAATATTAAGACATAGTTGTGGTGAGCAATATGTGCCCTGATTCTCAGGGCATGGAAGGCAAGGAGTTGTTTGCTTGGAGCCAATGATCATTTCCTGATATGTAGTTATATCTGTAATGAAGAATGTTGTGATTACTCCTGTGCTAATCCTATAAGTAGCAGCACTGGATCTTTTCACACTAAATATCTAGAACTGTGTGTATAAATATTTTGTGATTTAATTTGTTTCATTAGTTTCAGCTAATTAATGGCTATTTTGACTGGAGCTCTAGAGGACCTTTAACAGTAGAAACACAGAATCTCCTACCATTTTCATCTGGCACTGTAGTCATTCTTCTTGGTTTTTTTCTCCCCTGTTGCTTTTAAGCATTTGTTATGGGTCTTGTAATCTTACGAGTTTCCCCGTTCCCTTTGAATATAATTTTGTATGTTTTTGCTAGAAAGGGGATAAGCTTTCTCTTCAAGGATAGCTTACTTATATGGATAGCTTACTCTCATCCCAACTCCTACCAAGTTGAGATAAGAGCAAGCATTGTGAAGTAGATTAAATGATGGACTAAGAATTTGGAATACTGGGTTTCAGATTCCCACTTGGCCATGGAAAACTACTGGGTGACCTTTGGCAAGTCACACTCTTTCAGTCTCAGAGGAAGGCAATGGCAACTGCTCTCAGAGTAAATCTTGATAAGAAAAAACCATCCTAAAAACACCATATGTAAGAAACAATGTGAAGGCACACAACAACAAAGACAAGGTGGAATGACATTGGGAAAGATATGAGGGAAGGAAAGAAAAGAGAAAAAGGTGAAAGAAAGGAAAGAAGAAAGAAGAGATGAAAGGAAGGCATATAGAAAAAGAAGGGAAGAGAAAAAATTAATGAAGGGCAAGAAAAGAAGGGGAAGATGAGTGAGGGAAAGCATGGGAAGAAGAAAGAAAAAGGAAGGTGGAAAGTGTAAGAGGGAAACCAAGAAGAAGGAAAGAAAAGAAAGGGAGAAGGTATATGCGGAAAATGGAGGAAGGAAGGAAAGAAAGCAAAAGCCACAAAGAGCCTTACCACTGTTGCCATGAAGATCTTGTGAAATTGGCTGGAGAAGGGAGAAAGCAGGGAGCCGCAGTCCCAAGGACACCTGAGCAACTCCAGGTGTATACGCTAGTCCAGGCAGTCCCCGAGTCACAAACAAGATGGGTTCTGTAGGTTTGTTCTTAAGTTGAATTTGTATGTAAGTTAGACCAGATATATATATAGAGAGAGCTTCAGGTAGCATAGGGTTTACACCCCCGTGGTGTTTGTTTTGATGTCTGTGCCCCTGTTCAGAGGATTTCACCTCATTTTCTGTCCTTGTGACAACTGGAAATGTGAAACAAATCGGCTTGTTGTGGAAACAAGGATTGGTCATAAAGCTTCCATGTAGTGGCCTTTTTCCCTCTTTTAGGAGTGACTTTCTCTTCCTTGGGGGTAGGTTTCTTTCACTTACTGTTGACTCACCCCTGTTCTTAATTATGAATAATTTGTAAGTTGGATGTTTGTAACTTGGGGGCTTCATGTATATGTAAATAGGTTGGTGTAAAGGAAAATAGTTGGTTTTGCATGCTGTTGCAAGATAAATACAATGGAGAACATTACTTTTTCCCCAAAATCTATTGGGATGAAGACTTTAAACAGAAATGAACATATCTTGAAAAGCTGAATGGATAGAATAGTCACAACTGACAATTTGCCTGATCAAATGCTTATCCTTTTGAAGTTGTTCATAATTGTAAATTGCAAGTATAATATTACTTGCAAGTATAACAGAGTGAATTGCACTGTTAAATTTTGCTAACAACTTTTAGAACCTTTTTTTTTCAAATACGTATTTAATTGCAGTGTTAATGGAAGATAAATATAATGCACTTAATCACGTTTTTAAAAAAGCAAGTTTACTTGTTCATGTTTATTCCCCTTAACTTTTCTTCCTCTCTAGAAGCGTCGAGCTGGAGAATCTAAATGGATTGCATTATGCAGTGGATTGATACAAACAACTTTAGCTCAACCACAATGGGGCAGAATGCTTCATGGCACTCTCCAGGTGAGATTTTATTTATTTATTTGCTTGCTTGCTTGCTTGAGGTGCATGGTTGGGAACATGAATGTATCATGTTATTACAAATTATTGGATGGCTTGGAAATGATTGGAAGAAATAAATTGCGAACCACACACAGTTTGTAGTTTACTAATTTTAGGAATGTCATAATTGGAGTCAGGTATGGCTTGTTGTATTAATCTTTATTATGTCTTCTTTTTTAGGTGCAACATGTTATGCATAATGTAAAACAATATTGTCCATCGCAAATGTTTAATAATTTGAGAGAGAAAAAAAGTCTCTTTTATATACTGCTTTATTACTGGCTTAACAATTAGACTAATAAGAAACAATGCCAAACTAAACTCTGCATCAGGAAATTATGTTAGATAGTTAAGTGCTTGATTATAATTGAATCAAACCAATTAGTGTCTAAAGATGCAGACTGGTGAACCATATTTTAAGAGATTTGTCATGGGTGTTTGCTATTGAATTATTAGTAAAAAGGTAACTTAATAATTAAGTACATTATAGCAAACATACAGAAAAACTGTCATGACAAAACAGCACAAAAAGCTAAGGCTATCCCATTAGACTTACCTTTGGTGTAAGTTTTCCTAGACAGATTTCTCATTGCATTAAAAAAACCTGTATTGAATTTACATTTTAGAGTAGTTTATCACACCAGTAACAAACATACTAAGCAAAAGACAGAAAAAGTAGTGCTTGATCCTAGTTCTTTGCAATGGAGCAATATTTTTCTAGATGTTGAAGTTTTGCACCTATAAAAACTAGTAAGAGCATTCACAATGATAGGCCAAGAACTGTTGCAGAAACTATGCAGTCTGCTTTCTTCTTGTCTATTTGGAGGAAGGTAATGGTAGCACTGAATTCGTTGGGAAGAAAATGTGTGTAAGCAAAAGATCGTTTTCTATTTTTACGATGTTATCAAGCTGGTAAATTTTGGTCAATATTAGGGTATTTGATCCTATCCTTTATTCTCTTATTTTGTGTAAGATTGAGGACTTTATTGGGCTTTTTAATCTGAGCTACTGTACTAATGGAGAATGAAACCCAATGTGTAATTTGTATAAACCTTCCGAATAATTTTATTTATACCATTCCTTTCCCTCAAAAATGTACTCGTGACAGCTATGGATATGTTGTTTTTTACCCTAACAGCAATCCAATTTTGTACTGCTGTCTTACGTGTTTACCATTTCTTTTTGTTATTTTTTTCAGAAATACAAGAACAGCCAATCACGTCTAACCAGTGTATGCTGTGGATTGATACAAACTGTTGGGACAGTAAAACAGCCCAATAGAACATTTCATCACACAAAAACGGTGAGGACAAAATTATGTTCTGTATTATCTGTGTTGTTTGAACATATTGGCATAGAACAGTTATATTGTACAAGGATGTGCAGTAGATCAATAGGTACCGCTCCGGCGGGAAAGTAACGGTGCTCCATGCAGTCATGCCGGCCACATGACCTTGGAGGTGTCTACGGACAACGCTGGCTCTTCGGCTTAGAAATGGAGATGAGCACCACACCCCAGAGTCAGACATGACTGGACTTAATGTCAGGGGACTACCTTACCTTACCTTACCTCTAAGTATCAGGTAGAAGCCTAAACTCATGATTTCTATAATCTTATTGTAAAGGAGAAGCACTAAACCCCCAAGTAACTGGTACATATTATTTTAAAGATTTTGATAAATGAATGGAGAAAGAATAGCTGATCAGTAGTCAGAATATTAAAGGGTGAGGTGGGACCATCAAGGTACTTTATGGAGCTGCTTATTGGGAGCCATGGAGGTGATAATTCTTCAGCAGTTTTTATACTGAATGTTTTTATACTGAATAGGTAGCTTTTATACTGAATAGGCTGTGTGTGCAAATTATCTTCTGAAAATGATCTTTGATGCAAAATCATCTAACTCTAGCAAAGAGTTATCTGAAACCCTGATCTGTTGCCCATTGTTTAGACCCTTTCTCTTCTCTCTTGAGATAAAGACCTATGCAAGGACTGTCAAGACCCAGACGGACCAGCAAGCAAAACGGCAGTGAAGGAGTTAAACAAAGGTCTTTAATGTCTATTAGCACAACAAAAGGAGGCTCTTAAAGTCAGAGCTATAAACACAAAAGGCTTGCGGTCAGCAAGAATGTAAACAAACCAAGTCCCAGTCAGTCCTCGCTGGCAAAAGGAAAGCAAGTCCAAACGCAGGCAAAACAGCTTCAATTCAGCAGTAAAAACTCAGTTCATTTCAAAGCCAAACAAAACAGCAAACAGCAATCCGCATGAAGAGCGGTCCAACGAAGTCACCAGGGGATTAGCAGAGGCGTAGTCAGGCAGTCCGAGGGTCAAGGCAAGGAAGACTCACAAGTCCAGGTCCGGCAAGATTGTTCACACGATCAGGAGTCCACGAAGCTGCAAACAAGAGCTCAGGGCAGAAGTTAAACACAAGGCACACGGTAACGCGACACTTTGAACTCTGCGATTAGTTTGTTCCCAAACTGCTCCTTAAATCTCATCCGAGTCGCTGGAGTTACTTTCAGGTGCGTCTGCCTCCACAGGTGAATCCCGACTTCGCCATTGCTGCCAGTCTGTGCTTCGGGCTGCATCCTGCAAAGTATTATCTGGAACCCAAGTGTCATTAAAACCCTGGAATTCATCGCTAGACGTGGGAGCATTAACCACATCTAATACTTCCTGAACTTTAGTCCAATCCAGCTCTTCCTCTTCGCTGTCAAACTCCTCACAATCAGCTACATCTCTAAGGCGTTTAACAACAGATCCCACATCACTATCCGAGCTGCTTGCTACTCGCTTTACACCGCGGTAATCTTCCAGCTCCATTTCCTCGCGAGTAAAACCCTCAAAATCTTCCTCATCCGTAGTCTCTAAGAACAAGTCTCTAATACGTTTCAGCTGTTGCTGAGCTTCTTCATCTTCTAAACCACGTTTCCTTCTACTACTAGTAGTAGGTACAGGAGACAGACGCTGACTCACAACAAGGACATCAAAAAGAGAGAGTATGATTAGAGGGTGTTATGTCAATATGATTGCTTTGTAGTAGAAATTTATTTGATTAAAGATACATAGTGGAATGGTCCCCAGTTGTTCCAACATGTTTGATCCAGCTGGATGGCTTGACCCATCTGTTTGTTAGGCTACGTCACTGTGTGGAAGTCCTGTATGCATTGTGGTTGATTAGAGAATGCGGGTATAAAACAAACCAAACACAGATTGAAGGAAGAACAGTTAACATCATGGAAATAATGAGTGTGTGACAAGTGATATAGTGGCATCTTGATGGGAAAATAGATTGGGCTGTGAAAGGAGAAGGGAAATGGTTTGAAATGAAGAAAAAGAAGAGGGACACTAATGGGTCTGTAGAAGTACAGACAGAGGGATGCATACTATGGAGCACAGAGGGAGAATGTAGAGATTTGATTGTAGAATAAGACATTGAAGGTTGCAAAAATAGATTTTAGTTATTAATATGATATTGCAACATTGTTGTATTAATAAAGATAAACCCATTAATTTAAATGTTATGCCCTTGGTCCGAACAAATACAAATTTGCAGTCTGTTTATAATATTTCTCATCCTACCTCATCAAAAATATGATTTCTTTAGATAGTCTTGCTGTTCTGTCACAAAAACAGAGGCTTGCAAGGGTTTTTAATCTCTGTCCCTTGGGATGCAAGGGACCCATGGGCTGGATACAAAACATTATTTTCCATTACAAGCATGGAATAAAAATAGCTAAACATTTTAAAAAAAGAATCTCCTACTAAAGCTAATTTAGAAAACAGAGTACTTTAGGTAAGGACATGATTTACAGTTTTAATATTTTGATCCAGGTATATCAATTTTCACTGGGACTGCAATGTTAATTGCAAGTTTAGTTTATGCCACAAGCAAAAGAGCTTTTTTATTGAATCATAGGCATAATTGAAGCATTAGCTGTTACTGTTAAAGCAAGTTTCACCGCTGAATATATAGAAACATTTAATTAGTTTATCTGCTTTAATAGCTTTCTAAAAATGCAGAGTTATAGTTGCAGGGTCTGACCATACAACTTTGCCCTCCCATTCCATTTCGTTTAGAATGTGTCATGTTTTTACAACTTCTCATTCTTTTTGCTGATGGAAAAAAAATTCTGAGACGTGCCTTCCATCTTGTGGCTACTTAAGAGAGGCTGTGTAACCTGAGAGCTTATTTATTTATTTATTTATTTACTGTATTTATACCCCGCTCTTCTCAAGCGGGGTGTAAAGCCACTCTGAAGGGGACTCAGAGTGGCTTACAGATTATGGCAACATTGAATGCTGCATCATACAACATATAATAAATATAACATATCAAATTATAAACAATTAAAACACATAAATGCAGTAAGTGCAACAAATAATAAATATAACATATCAAATTATAAAACATTTTAAACATATAAATGCAATAAAACATATTAAAAAATAGTTTTAACAGAGCAGATGTTCCTTCAGGGGAAGAATGAGATGCCAAATCGGGTGGCAGTGTTCACTCAAGAGAGGGCTCAGGTGAATCAAGGGCCATGGCTGGAAGAAACAAATGTTGGTATTGCTGTGCTGACCCAAGGATGCTGAAATGGAGACCAGTCAAGACAGAGTCCAGCAGCACCAAGCTGTTCCCAGAAGCTGAGTGAGTCCCTAGAACAGTGGTTCTCAACCTGGGGTCCCCAGATGTTTTTGGCCTACAACTCCCAGAAATCCCAGCCAGTTTACCAGCTTTTAGGATTTCTGGGAGTTGAAGGCCAAAAACATCTGGGGACCCCAGGTTGAGAGCCACTGCCCTAGAAGCTGAGCCAGAGGCAGCAAGGGATATAAATGCTGCCCCTTCCCTCAAAGCCACTGGTGATGGTACCGTCACTTCTTGCTTAGGCCTGAGGCCCTGCAGGCATGGTTCTTTTTATGCCCCAGCCTCTGGGGCAAGCAGGTGTTGTTGCTAGCCTTGAGCTGCAGAGCCAGGGCCTCAGTTCTGCCAGAAGTGAGTCCACAGGAGCTGAACCAGAGGCTACAGGAAAAACAAACGCTGCCCCTTCCCTCAAAGCCCCTGGTGATGGTACCGTCACTTCTTGCTTAGGCCTGAGGCCCTGCAGGCATGGTTCTTTTTATGCCCCAGCCTCTGGGGCAAGCGGGTTCTGCATTCATTCTCAGGAGAGGTTCATATGTATAAATGCTACATTATTCGAATCTAGCAGAAGTACCAAGCTTCACAAGTGTTAGAAACCCTTTATTTTCTGCACTTCCTCACTGTTTTATCCATCTTTATTCCCTCCACTCATTTTCTTTCTTATTGAACTTTCCCTTAAGCCTGCTAGATGAGAATTCAGTCCTTCCTCTGTTTACTTCCTCCTCTCCAAACTGTTATCCATTTTAAGCTAATGAAATAACCTTGTAATAGAACATAGTTTTCACATATGGAAAACACTTTCTTAATTAAAAAAAATGCCTTCCACAATGTCTTTTATATTGTTACAGGTTTTTACAACCAAAGATTCTCTTCAGCCATCTGAAGAGAAAGTAGGTGCTTTCACGAAGATGATAGAAGCAATGGGCTTCACCGGACCACTAAAATATAACAAATGGGTAAATGTTTCATTTTCATAGACTTGCTCCATTTCATCTACTTTGACAAAGGAGAGATCACCAAAATAAACTAGCCCCAATCCTTGTTTACAGGAGTTACTTGAATGTCTGTATAACACAATCATATGCATGTCTGTGCAGAAATCCCATTGAATTTACTCAGACTAACCACCAGATCATTGTGTGTAGGATCATGGCCATCGTTAATTTAGAAGCAGAATTACTGAAAGCTTGTGTATGTGAAACATTAGCCCTTTGAAAGCACCGTAAGATCAACAAATTTGTTATGGCATAAACTCTGGAATGCAGTCGGTTGTGATTAAGTAGTAAACTTTTTGGCTAAATTACTAAACACACTTACCAGGAACTAGCATTTTGAATTGTGCCTGGCAGCCAGTTGAGCTGTTTCAACAGAGGGATTGTACGCTTCCAGTGGCCAGCCCCAGTTAGTAACGTGGCTGCTGCTCTTTGGACCAACAGAAGATTCTGAGCACTTTTCAAAGGCAGCCCATGTAGAGCACATTACACTTGTCCAAACGGGATATAACCAAGGCATGTACCAATGTGGCCTGATTACTAGAACGTTAAAAGATGCTGTTGTTCACAATCTTCATAAACTCAGTTTAGTTTTGGTAAACCAATATTTGCTAAAATTAAATGTCTGTAGGAGCACAGTATGTTGGTCAAAACAGGATATTATTAGCAAACCTATTTTAAACTGAATATTCAGTCATCGGTATGTTTCAAGTAAGCTAAAGTTTTGGTGGAAAGAGATGGATCACATTTAAATAACGATCAGCAGAAAACACAGTCCTGAACATTTCAGAAGTATGAAAACGGTTTGCACAGTAATCTTTATAAATTATTTGAGATAGCAACATGATTTTATTATTTGTTCATTGATAGCCACTAAATAAATATTATACATAATGTTGGTGTGATTGATGAAAATGGGGCTGTTATAACATGTTGTAAACTGTTATAACTGTTTTTCCTTTTCAGAAAATTAAAATAGCAGCACTGCGTATGTACACATGTTGTGTGGAAAAAACAGACTATGAAGAATTTTTTAACAGTAAGTTTTCCATCGTTTTTGTCATATTGCTTCCTTTTATATCTCTTCGTCAGGTTATGGCTGAAGTAAAACAGGCCACAGTTTTGTGAGTTTCATAATCCGATATTGCTCAGTTTTTTCTAATCAGTTATTTACTCTTAGGAGGACATTTGTTTCACATTGACTGTGAAACAAAGCAAGCAACATGACCTTTATTTTGCCCCTTTAAAAAAGAAAAGGGTTACTGAATATATATACATTTCTGACTTGGAAAGACATCAAATGCTGGACTTTAGAGCCATGTCATAATAAAGCAGTTTGCATAATTGTCCAAAACAAGTTTCACTTAGGGATTGAGTCTTCAGTTTCTGTGTATGGGATTGTAGCCTTTAAAATACTATTTCCACTTGTAGCCATATTCAAGTTTATATGTTGGTCCATTGGTGAAAATCCAAATAGCAAAAGCAGCATAATATAATGTTAACTTTGTTTTCATTTGTTTTAAGGCGATGAATTGTGATTTCATTCTGATGACTTGGCCTTATGTAATTATATGACTATTTTAATGTGTTAGTGTATCATGGGATGAGATGTTTTAAACTACTGTTTATGAATCTTTTGTTGTGAACCGGACTGAGTCCCTCTGCGGAGGTCGAGAAGACCGGTATATAAAAGTTCTAAATAAATAATAAATAATAAATTAAGGTAGTGTTTATTGTATTCACTTTTAGATCATTGGATGGTATTTGTTCTGGTTGCTCCTCTTGATTTTAATCTTGTAAACTCGTGAAATTGCTTATATTTCTGCCCAAGAGAGGGTTGTAGAGTTACACCAGTGTTCTGTTTAGTCAAATGGGTCAGAACCACACTTGCCAAATCTCCCCAATGCACTATTGAACTTCTTTGCTGTTATTAAGTTAGCCTAATGTGATTCAAAAGTTAATCTATAATTGGCTGCTTCAAACATTCCTCAGCCCCCATTGAGGAATTTTTCTAGCAACAGTGATAGATGATACCATTGTAGTCCATAGTGGGTTTGTTTCTTAACATGGCAACTTGGAAACATGTGGTCCTTCCCCTAAGACCCTTGTGTTGTATACCTTGCAAGCACCGAATTTGAGAAAAGAAGACTGGGTGGGAGTGAAGTCATTGGACCACAGCTAATTAATGTACTTATTTTTAAACAATCTATTAAAATAATCAAGTAATTGAAATGGTTATAATTCATTTTTAAAGGATTTCAGATGCCTGACACATTGAACTCTTGGTTTTTAGTATCACAGCTTCATGTCTGGTAAGTAAAACTCTAGAAAATTATATTTTCTACATTTTGCAGCTTCCATACTGGCTGAAAGAGAAGGCTGTCGCTTTTGGTAACAAAAATATCAAACTTCACCATGCTAACTCCTGAGCAACTTTTAGAAACAAAGGTCAAAGAAGTGTAATATTTATAGTAGTTCTAAAGTGTAGTAGTGGGGAGGATATGGCTTGTGAGTATCTTTGAAAGCTTCATTCAGTTTGAATGGAAAGGTCTCTTATTTAGCTGTTTTAGGAAAAACTCACATCTACGTAAAAAGTGGTTTAAGTTGTGATAATGTATGGTGATTTTACTTGCTGGTTGTCAGAAGCCTTTAACAAATTGCACCATTGACATTTACATTTGCACCTCTAAAATGTACCTACAGATTAAGTGAACTCCAGTTTGGTTACATGTAGAATATTTAACACCTCAGAAAGTAAGCTTTCCCTTCTTGTGTTAAATAAGTAGCCAAGAAAAATAATTAGATGAAAAATTGATTTTGCCTAGAGTTTTGATTTGAAAAGGTCAAAGTGGTGTAACAGTGGTGTAGAAGGAAGGAAATTATTTTTCCTAATTGCCCAGCCCTCTGGAAGCCAATGACAGTAGATTTTTTGTACAAATATAGCAACTGAGAAGATCAAAAGGTGTTAGTGAACAAAAATTAACAACTTGACCTAGCATACATTTATGCTATATTCTTCTTTCTTCCATTCTTAATTACTGCAGAGTTCTAAAATATATTATCTCTATTTTATTGATGTATGATGTTAGTTTACAACAGATATTAGTTCGGCAAAACATTTGAAACATGTGTATATATTTGGTGTGCTGCATTTAATAAAATTCCTTTTTTAGAATTTGTAATCATAGAAGAAGTTCTGGAGGGGCTATTTCTGAAAAATCCAGAATACCTCAATAATTTTAGACAAGCTTTACCAACTAGCAGAGCAAAAACACTGGTACTTTGTTGATTCTTTCTCTATTCTTAGATAAAAATGAGCCACTGTAGCACAAAAACCTAATTTGTCTGCAGCCAAACCTGAAATTATCAAATGCTGGAAGATGCTAGCAAATCTCAATATTAGAGAATAGGGTAATTGCATCTGGACTGTTGCTTGATATGAATAGCTCATGTAAACTAAGAATGACAGAGGGGCTGAATAAAAATGATGTTTTGTGGAGACATGATTTTTTTTTGTTTCTTAAACTGCACAATGGCCAAGGTGCATGCAGAGGGGCACCTACAGAACGTAGTCAGTTTTGGCCAGAACTAGACTAGCTACCTAAAACCATCTTAAGGGACCACAACTACTATTGGTGACATATCAATGTATTTCTTTGAGTAGGGATGTTTATTTAATTTACAAAAAAATGAAAGTAATTGTCAGGCCGATGCTGTGGCCTATAAAAAACTTAACTAAACTGTCTTTTCTATTGAATCCATCATAACTTTAGATCCATTGATTCTTACTGTTGCTTCTTGTTTTACCTTTTCTTGTTGTAATTTATGTTAAATCAATGGAATCTTTCTACTCTAACATGAGCCTAGTATCTAAATGCCTCTTCAATAAATGTACAACATGAAGGAAAAAAGGACTAGCTGTGCAGTGCAGCATCCTTTCCTGGGTCAGACCTAAGAGCACATGCTCACTAATTTCATATATACAAACTTGGATAAGACTGATTTTCTAGTGTCATCTTAATTAGGATCCAGGCCCAGTTTTGAATCTGTCTGAATCACCTTGCATGATGATCTTTTGTCAGGTGGTCTTATTGCTATTTGATCTCTCTGCATTATTATTGATCTTAGTATCTTTCTATGGGAGCTGTCTGTATTGGAGGTCACTGAGTTTCAGTGGGTTCTGCTACTATATGGATGGCTGTTTCTAGAGAGTAGTACTTAGGATGGTGCTTAGGCATTCATCCCCATGAGGCATCCAGTATGGTGTTCCACAGGAATTGATTCTACCCTCCATACTGTTTCACATCTGTCTCAGATCTGGGCAAAGTACAGCCCTAAAGTCCCATAAGATGCACCTAGTTCCCCCCAGACCACCTCAAAAGTATATTAAAAAATAATTATATTGTTAAAGTGAGGTTTTGGGGATGCATTTCTACTAGTATACTAATGAACCCTTCATTCATTTCATCTCAAGCCAATGTGATGGTAGGTGTACTCAACCAATATTTCCTCTAGCTAAGTTAGCCAGGGCTCACACAAGATAGGCTAAGGTTCTACTTTGTGCTGAATTACTGCCATGTGTTGTACTTTAGATTGCCTAAATGTTATTTAGAAATTGGCTGGTGCGGATATCTTTGGCCAGGCTGTTGAATGGTACTAAGTGATGTGAATACATGGGCTCCACTTCTGATTGCAAGTTAATTTCAGGTCAAGGCGCAAAATGCTGATTTAAGCCTATAAGCCATTAGATGACAGGAAGCCAGTACTGTAAGGTCCACGTCCTCCTCATGAATCAACCCAGTCCTGAGATCAGAAACAGAGGCAGTTCTTTCAGTGCTTTCTCCAAGAGAAACTCGAGAGATGATATTCCCCTTTTTTGTGTTACACCTGTGTTCATGAAATGCTCCACTCAGTGATGTTTGGCTGGTATCCAGTATCAGGCAAAGATGTATTTATTTTGCCAGGCATTTGGATATTAATTATGGCCTGACTGTTTTGGACTGTGTTTGTGGTATTCATTCTGTGTTGAAGAGGTGAGGAAGTTTTGTAGGTGAACACGTCTAGTATTGTTTTATAGATAGTATTTTGTATAATGTATTATTTATAATCCTGGTTTATATCTTGTTTGTTATTTAATTACAAAGTTCTGTGTTCTTCTATATATGCATTTCAAATTAATTTGTGACAGTTTATTGAGATAGAAAGTTACAGCAACAGTAAAGTAATTTAAAAGTAGACACTTGTGAAAGCATGTTAATCTCTATGGTATTGATCCTTCCCTATGATGAATGATTGTTTTTATTTGGGTTTGCTGCTATTCAGTTAGCAGAATTGCTAATAAATAGTCCAATAGTTAGTCTCAACTAAAATTAGACGTTGACTTAAGGCCCTTCCACACAGCCATATAACCCAGAATATCAAGACAATAACCCACAATATCTGCTTTGAACTTGGTTATGTGAGTCCATACTGCCATATATCCCAGATCAAAGTGGATAATGTGGGATTTTATTTAGCTGTGTGGAAGGGGCCTCAGTAAACCTGATATAAGTATTGACTTGCAAAGCTCTCATTGACTCTGTGGATTTACCCTTGTTCATACAAACAATTGGATTTATGCTTGGCTATCAACTGAAATCAGTTATTCTGAGCTACATGCATTTGCAGCCAAGGTTGTACTTTTGTCTAAGACTGAAGATACTACCTTCATTGTTATTAAAGGGGTTTGGGTGAATAGTTCAGATTGTAGTGAATGCAGTACAACCCCATAGTTCATAAAGTCATTGCAGTTTCTATAGAATTAATATATTAGCTATGAAGAATGTGTAAGCATTCAATATTGGTTTCATTTAACATATAGTGATATATCAGCCAAAATTATTATAGAAAACTCAAGATACAGTATCTTTTGGGATATGATTCCAGGACCTCATTGCTTAACAGAATATGTGATGCTTAAGTCCCGTTGTATGCAATAACGTAGTAAAATGGTATCATTTATATAAACTGGTGAACAGTTCAAAGAAATGCCAGATAAAGCCTGAGGATCTATGAAATAGCAAAAGGCTACAGCAGGGTTTGGCTACAATGAGCATGCCCTGCTGTAATCTTTTCCTATTTGGTGTGCTTCAGAATCAAGGTTTGCTTTTGGCATTTTTCTCTTGAATATTTTCAAGACATAGTTGGTTGAATCCATAGATGGAGAAGCCATGAATGCAATTTTATAGAGACTGATCCTAGAAACCCTGGGTATTTTGGGTTTTTTTAAAAATACTTTCTGTGCCATGATAGTCTCAAAAGAAAAGAAAGACATTTAATAAAATGAACATAGTTTACCCTTTATATGTATTATTATCCATCTTGGTTAAGAGTGTATGACAGCAGAGAAACTAAAGCATCACTGCAAAAAAAATTAAACAAGTAAATATCACGTCTACAAGTCTTAAACATAAGTATAACGGTTGTAACCTGTTTTGAAGACATGGGTGGGTACAGCGTAGCAAAGCATGTTTATTTCTTCTCACTTCCTGGATAGAGGTTTATCTGAGAACCTCCTGTAAGTTTTGAATTTAATCATGGGAGACAGGGGAGATTGTAAAGGTGTAATAAGGGGAGTAATGGTTCACCAGAAGGAGGCTTAAACACTAGATCAAATGGGAATGTTAATTATGATGGGCAAGATGCATACACCTTGCAGTTCTTAATTTAGAAAAGATCTATATGTATAGCAAAACCAATGAAATAGAAGTAAGCTCCCCTGGCAAAGTTTCTAAAATATAACTTTAAAATAATGCCTTTGCCCTCAAATTTTCTAAGTAATCAAAGATAGCTTGGCAGCTGAATAATTGAATATTAAAACATGGCCTTATAGTTAAACAATAAAAGATTTTGCAGCTGTGTTGATCTAGCTAGAAAATCTAAGAAAACCTGTCATTTTAACCTCCACTGGCAGTTGTTGTAAACGAAGTACTGTTTTTTAAAAAATAAGCTCCAGATTCCATGATCTCACTCAGGGTGCTGCTAAATTACTCTGTGACAGCACTATACATCCAAACACACAGTGTCCTTACCAGAATTGGTCTAAGTACAAACTGAAAAAGATTGGTTCTTACTCCATCAGTGATGGCTTATAATCCTTTGTGTCATTTTGGATCATTTTTAAAATTATTAATGCAAGCTCCTATGACCACTCTACACTTGACAAAAGTTAGACAAGCATAAAGCAAACAGAAAACCACTTTCCATTGATAGAAACTGTTTTTTCGGAAAGCTGTACTGGCGGAAAACAATGTGACATTTGTGGTTTCTGCCCCCTTGATTCATTATATGTTTTTTATGCCATATATGTGTTTAGAAAAGAGAGCACAATAAGAAGTAATATTAGCAGTCTTAATTTTTATTCAGTCAAGAATTAAATCTTGATTGAGCAGTTGCAAGTGTAACTCTTCTCAACATTGTTTTGTTGCTGCAGACTGATATGTGTAAATCCGTCTTTTCCCAAAGTTCCTAACCTACTTGGAAAGAAGTTTACAATATTTGAAACTGACAAAACAGCCAAGTAGAATAAATACCTGTTCCATTTATACTGTATATGCAGCAGAGTCATCCACAACCTGGTTATCTTGTCACTACCCATTTGCTTAATTATATTTTTTTTTGAACTGCTATCACATGCTTAGGTTCCTCCAAATAACCCATTCTTAAGCTGCCTCTACATTTTTCTTTTTCCAGTGATCAGCGTACGGTAGTCCTGTAGCTGTGATCCTTTTAAGTCAGCCAAAAGGTTTAGTGAATTCACACTTCACTTGGGTGTGGGTTCCCTTTAACTCCACCTATGTTTTGATAGACAAGAAAGTGCTGTTAGCTTCTAGTTAATTTCTATTCTGCTGCTATTTCAAGTAATCCATTATTAGTGATGCAATTCCAAGCTAAAGCAAATTGTGAGCTTCATGTGTCATAATCAGCCACAACCTGCTGTATAACTATGGCATGTAAAAGCTGTATCATCTTTATCTCACTTGGTAGTTATCCAAGTTTATGATCTTACAGTCATGATTTCCAGAATTCTAAATGTTTCCCTAATTTTTTGTAGGATGTGTTTAGTACGAATGAAGCAAGAGGGCCGAGCAGGAAAATACATGTGCCGCTATATAGTTCACTCCATGTGGGAGGATGTTGAGCAGCGTGGGAAGGTCATGGGGGTGAGTAGTCTCTGTCTAATACAAGTTTATGTGTCCATTTGTTATTTCACTGTTTTATTGCGTTTTAAAACTCCAGTGGTCAATGTTGCATCAAAGAGTTTACTGTTTAACATACTCAGAACAGTAACAGAGAGTGAACAGATTGTATGCCCATTGGTTTGTTCCCATACACTAATAGAGATAATTATTTATATGTATTTATCTTATCTTAAGCTGAAAAAACTGCAATTATTAATATGTATTAATATTCATGTTTTCTCAGTCATAGTAGGTTACTGTTAAACAAAAAGGCTGTTTCTTTAAAAAAGTACAAATTAAACCCAGGTTTTGACCAAATGGTTTTGGTTTTTTTGCTAACTTTGATTAGTTCTGTGGTCTGTGAACCAGTTCCTTGCAAATGTCCATATTTCATAGACTAAATTGCACTTCGATCGTTTGCTTACCCCGGTTGTAAAATGTAGCTGGAGGGCTGTAAGTGTCCCTTTACGCTGTTTTTGCAGCTCCTTTGGGATGGGCAAGTCACAATTTAAAATATATGCATAAATCAAAACTCAAGATTTCAGGCTACTTCTGGATTTTTTATTTCTGAAATTTGAACAGTCTTTGCAGCCCTTGGAGATCCCTGTGTAAAAAAAAGAGAGCTCTAGCTGTCTGCCCTAATTTACTGGGAAGGGATAAGGGTTGTAGAAAAGTGCCAATCTTCTTGGATACTTATAACTTTGAGAATATCTGAGAATTAAGAGATATCTAACAACTCCTCAGGTGGCCTTAAGATAAGCATATGATACTACTGAAACAACCCCTTTCATATTATAAGAAAAGTACGCAGCCTATGATAACACCTAATTATAGTACAACTACGGATTTGATTTTGGATTGTGTGATTTTAAATTGTGTTGTTTAACGGGTGGGTTTTAACATAAATGTTATTGTATGATCTTTGTATGATCTTTATGTTTGAACTTTGGTTATGTTCAAATGTCATTCTATGTTTTATGTTTAATATGGTTAGAGCTTTAATTTATAGTTATATGATAATGTCTAGTTATATGTCTTGTTTATCATATGTATGTACGGCATTGAATTTTGCCATTATTATGTTGGAAACCACTTTGAGTCCCCTCAGGAGGGGAAAAGGGGTATATAAATGCAGTAAATAAAATAAAAATAAATAGTAAGCACAGTCTGAGCGTGAAGATCATGTACTTAGAATTATGTATATGCATATGTATATGTATGAACTTAGTCTCTGAAGACCTTGATAAAAAAATTGCATTTTGGCTTGATCCTGGTAAGAATGATATTAATGTCAGTCAATCTCTAAGGCAGTGGTTCCCAGCCTGTGGTCTGTGGACCACTAGTAGTCCACAAGAACGGAAATATGGTCCGCGGCCTCACCATTACTACACCGTTGCCTTGAAACTATGCAGCAATGAGAGTGACTAGTTTTCTCAAAACCCTCTTACAGTGCCGAGGCAATGAGGATATTAGGAGGGGAGAGACTTCCCACCTACGAAATATTACTACTACCACATCAGCTCTAAATGATTAAATATGGTTTTCTGTGGGTGAGCAGATGGCAACTACTGGATGGCATATGTTCTATATCAGAAACTAGAGCTGATGTGGCTTATCCAATGCAGTTTTCTGAATCAGCACCCCAAATAACCAAACTGAATCTAAAGTTGACCAAAAACTGATTCGTAACCCTTTTGGTACTAATGTTGGAGAGTGGTCCCTGGTCAAGTAGTCCCTGGTCAAAAAAAGGTTGAGAACCTCTGCTCTAAGGGAAGTACATTGCACAGTTGCAGCGCCATACTTGTGAAGGCGCTCCTCCGTGCATTCATATTACCCGCCTGGGTGGAATGCAGAGGAGGACCCCTCTTGGCCTCGATTCTTGGGCAGGTATAATATATATACAAAGAGGTGCTCCTTCAGGTATAAAGCAAATTATATAATCTGAGCATACATGTTGTCCTTGTTGAGGGAAAGCTTTCCCAGGTATTAGAAATTCAGTATTGTGTAAATGTTGATAAGTCTGCAGTTCACTGTTCATCTTCTGATTCTGCTGTTGTTTTCACATAACATAACAAAACAATACTATTAATGAATCCATTGTCAAATTTTCAGTTTCTTCCAAAATAGCCAACATTTTCTTGTGAAAAAGTAGAAGCAAGCATATGACTATTATATGTGCCTACTTCCATACATCTCCAACAGTTACACATTAACGTATTTAACCTTTGTGGAGCCGGGCACTGTCTACTTTATAAGGTTACCAAATCCTTTTCATATTGTTAAAAGATGCATTATTTTGAGAATAATTTTCCCATTAAGCCCTGTTATTAAAAGCTGCTCCGTTTCCTTTCATAGCTTCTACCAGGTACTTATTACTCCCATTGGATCATTGCCAAGAAGTAGCTTCTCAAATTCCTTATTTATTTCATACCTTTATATCCCCTCAGTTCTTCAGTAACAGGACTCAGGGGTGTAGTTGTGGCTACTCCTTTCTCTCCTATCCATCATTCACTATGGTGATGCCCGGTGGCGCAATGGGTTATACCCTTGTGCTGACAGGACTGCCAACTGAAAGGTCGGTGGTTTAAATCTGGGGAGCGAGGTGAGCTCCCATCTGTCAGCTCCAGCTTCTCATGCGGGGACATTCGAGAAACCTCCCACAAGAATGGTAAAACAGCTTGCTGCTCCCAAAGTAGAAGAATTTCTTCTAGCAGTTCTAATTTTACTTGGGATATATCAATTTTGAGTTTAGGAGCTTATGATTTAGTAATCATGGACAGTAAGGTTGTTAGTGTCAATGACAGATACTGGGAAATATTTGTATCAAGGAAACGCTCTTTCGATACAAGCTTTATTTAGAGTTTATTAAAAGGCTGAAAATGAATTAGTCTACCATTGAAAGGTAACTTTGATGAATAAAATGAAATTGAGATAATATTTTTGAGGAAGTAAGTAAAATCATACAGGCAATGAAGAAAATTAAAGTTAAAATGAACTTTTTGAACTGGTAGCTTTGTTTCATGCTAGAATGTGCCATCTGGTATTACATACAGGCGTAAAGACATCATGACTTGAACTAATAGAATCCACTATTTTTCACTTCAAACGTATGCTTATCCCAGTTTTAAATAGCATATTAATTCATAGATTAGCTGTTAAAATTGTTACAGTTTGAATCTCAGCTGCAAAGTTTTGGGACCCTTTAACCTGGGCTCCTTCAGCACTCCCGATTGTTGGCAGGAGTGGGAACCAAAACTTGACACAGCTGTAAAAACATAAAGAAAGCCTTTGGCCTCAGCAATTCTACTGGTGCAGGCAGATTTCATATATAAATTTTACTCTGCTGCCCCTAGAACTAATGAAGTCAGTTTCTTTCAGTGGTTATGCAGCCAGGTGTGTCCAGTTTTGTGGCTAACCAGTGTTCTTTACCTAATTTTTCCACTTGTGACTTTTCTACTCAAACTTAAAAACAAACATGAACATTGGCTAGATACAGTGATTCCGCTTGTTAGTAGAAACACAAGGCTTGATAAAGATCCCCTTTTGATCTTGTCCAGCCCTTGTCTCTGCCTTCCATCTAGTAGACATGAGTTGCCTAAACTACCAGCTTTTGTGAACGAGAGCTGGGGATGGAACCCAGAAAAACAATGTGTGCCTTTATTCTGTAAAGGCATAAATTAAAGCAGTTGCTCATTGAAAATTATCATGTGAGTCATCTAATCCCTCTTAAAACATATGAATAACAAGAATAATTATGTTTTAGTTGCTAGATCTTAATATACATAACTTGAGTAACAAAGACATACTATCTGATTCAGATAACCATATCCTAATGTATTAACCCAAGGCTCATACAAACCTTTTGCTTACACAGACGGCCCTTTCATGTAAGCAGTAGGTTAACTGTAGTGTTGTCTTATGCATTGTTCATTTGAATGAAGAAGCTATAGTTACTGGTATTTATTTATTTATTTGCTATATTTATACCCTGCTCTTCTCACCCCAAAGGGGACTTAGAGTTGCTTACATATTATGGCAAAATTCAATGCTGCATTATACTTAAGTGTTCTCTCACTTATCACTGGTGTTACATTCCAGGACCACCTGCGAAAAGTGAATATCCGCGAAGTAGGGATGTTATATTTATTTTAATATTTATACATTATTTTAGTAATTATACACTATTTTAAGTCTTTATAAACCCTCCTCACACACTTATACACTCCATAACTCTCCTTGTTCATGTAATCTTGGGCTCCGGCTTTATCCGCAGTGGCAACCTCTCCATACAAACAAATGTTCTTAAGCCCATATTGAAAAACCATGAAACAGCGAGTCCACAAAAAAAGGAACTGCGAAGTTGTGAAGAAGCACTGTATAACATTTCAAATTATAAAACAGTTAAAACATATAAATGCAATAAAACAGATTAAAAACATAGTTTTCCAATCACCCTGCCCCCACAGGCCAAACATGAGCCTGCTAGTAAAAGTGGTCTTATGCATTTTTACCATGGGGTAAGGCGATGTAAAGTGCGAGTGTAGAAGGCAACAGGGTTAGGATACAGGTGCCACAATTTTAAAACACAAGATCTTAAAGTTTAGGAGTGCTGAGGTTTAAATTGCGAAGTAAAGTATTTGATATCAATACTCAATGTCCAGTTTAGAGTGGAATTCACCGACCAGGCACAATGATGAAGCCTAATTAGAACTTGAGTGGACAATAGTCAAAAGTACTCTGGGATGATATCTAAGACCAGATGGAGAGGGCCCTCAGGGGCAGCCCAGCGGGCTTAGGCCGAGAAGGGCTGTGCGCTGGTGGCACGGGAAGCAGCAAAGGCAGCGGACGGGAAATGGAAAAGACCCCGGAACAGCTGAGATAGCCACATGCCAGCAACACTACATGTACTGGAGCACATCCGCTGGCCTCGTGGTCTCCTTGTGGGTAAGCCCAGGGCTGAGCACGGCAACAAAGCCAGATGG